TCTTCTTGTTGGATAGACCCTTTAAGAATGATAGAGTGTCCTTCTGTGTCTCTAATTACAGACTTTAGTTTAAAATCTAATTTGTCTGATATAAGCATTGCTACCCCGGCTTTCTTTTGAGGTCTGCTGGCATGAAAGATGGATCTCCAGCCCTTCATGTTCAGTCTGGATGTATCTTTAGGTTCAAAATGATTCTCTTGTAGGCACCATATGGATGGGTCCTGTCTTTTTACCCAATCTGCAATCCTGTGCCGTTTTATGGGAGCATTTAGGCCATTCACGTTGAGTGATTATTGAAAGATATGAATTAATTGTCATCATGTTGCCTGTGAAGACATTGTTTTTATAGATTGTCCCTATACATTTCTGTTGTATATCACTTTTGGGGTCTTTCTCCTTTTATAGAACCCCCCTTAATATTTATTGCCGGGCCAGCTTAGTGGTCACATGTTCTTTCAGTTTCTGCCAGTCTTGGAAGCTCTGCATCTCTCCATTCATTCTAAATGACAGCCTTGCCAGATAAAGTATTCTTGGCTGCATGTTCTTCTCGTTTAGTACCCTGAATATGTCTTGCCAGGCCTTTCTGGCTTGCCAGGTCTTTGTGGATAGGTCTGACGTTATTCTGATGTTCCTCCCTCTGTACGTAAGGAATGTCTTCCCCCTAACTGCCCTTAAGATGGTTTCCTTGGTTCTAAGATTTGCGAGTTTTACTATTACATGCCGAGGCATTGGCCTGTTTTCCTTGATCTTGGGAGGGGTCCTCTCTGCCTCTAGGGTGCAAATGTTTGTTTCATTCCCCAGATTAGGGAAGTTCTCAGCTACAATTTGCTCAAATACATCTTTGAGTCCTCTCTCTCTCTCTCCACTCCCTCCGGGATTCCAATTATTCTGACATTGGAACGCTTCATGGTGTCACTTATTTCTCTGATTCTATTTTCATGGATTCTGAGTTGTTTTTCCCTGGCCTCCTCTTTTCCCTTTTTATTTATTATATTGTCTTCCAGGTCGCTTATTCGTTCTTCTGCCTCAGTTACCCTAGCTGTTAGATTATTTAGATTGGATTGGATCTCATTGATAGCATTTTTAAGTTCTGCCAATTCAGCTTTCATTTCTGCCCTTAGATACTCTATTTTTTTTTTTTGCCCTTAGATACTCTATGTTGTCATTAATTGATTTCTTCATTCTAGCCATTGTCTTCACAGCTGCTACCCTGAATTCCATCTCTGACATCTTGTTTATATCTGCATCCATTTGTAAATCTGTAGCATAAGTCATAATCTCTGAGTCTTTTCTATTTTGGGGGTTCCTCCTCCTAGTCATTCTGTTGATGGGTGTTTGAGGGAATGTATAGTGTCCAAATTATTGACCAGAACCCAAGCAAGATGCACCTGTTTTCTAGGGACCTTAGGGTTGCTGGCCTTTTGTTTTCCCAGCCTGTCTTTTGGGGGAGGGGCCTGCCGTGCTGTTACTCAGGCAACCCTGTTTGGGCAGAGTTGCCCTGCCCCCCTGTGGCGGGGGATGGGCTCAGCCGGAATCAGTTTATTGGGGCTTTTGTTCTCTGGCGGCTTTCCCTGGTGGCTTTCCACGTCTTTTCTGTGAGTCAGAGCAGAAGAGACCGTTTCCAACCCTCTGCCTCCGAGCAGAGAGACCGCAGTCTGTTCTTCAGTGAGCTCTCCAGGCCACACTGTCTCCCTTTCTGTCCGTGCTGCTATATACTGCAGCGTCCTGGGTCGTGTGCCCCTCTACAGTGTCCCCAGGTCAGGGCACGTCTCTGCCCTTTGTGCTTCTAAAACCACCAGCCGCTCCCAGTTCATACGTGAGACCCCCCTGCTCAGGGTTTCTGTTCCAGGGGCTACCCTAAAGTCCTTTCCCTGTTGCTACTGGTCTGCGAGTCTGTGTCCTGTCCCCAGCGCACGAGGCTGTCACTCACCAGTGGTGTCGGATCCCCATGGCCATGCTCCCTCTTGCTGTTGTTTATCCTCTGATATTTGCCTGGGGAATCACGGCTTCCTGCTTCGTACCTCAAAACCAACCCCCTGCGATATTCTGTTTGTAGAGATCCAGATCTTCTTACATCTCAGGCTGGTTTCGTGGGTGCTCAGAGTGGTCTGGTAGATATCCAGCTCAATTCCAGGGACCAGTTGAAATAGGGTCCCCTACTCCTCCACCATCTTTCCTTCTCTCCTATAATGTGTTTTTTAATTCATATTTTTGTGCTTGGAGTTCATTGAGCTTCTTGAATATGTAGGTTATGGTTTTTATGTAATTTGCAAAGTTTTGTCCATTATTTCATCAAATATTTTTTTTCTTTTCCTAATCTCCTTCAGGGACTCCAATTATCAATTTTAAGTTGCTTGAAGTTATTCCACAACTCACTGATTTTTTTCTTTCATTTTTGGATTATTTTTTTCCTCTGTGTGTTTCAATTTGAATGGTTTCTGTCTTTTGAAGTTCACTAATTTTTTCTTTTGCAATTTTTAGTATGTTTCTATCTCTTCCATTGTATTTATTCAAATCAGACATTGTAGTTTTCAACTATAGAAGTTCAGTTTTGATATTTTAAAAGTGTCTTTCATTCTTCTATTTACCTTTCTGAGCACATGGAATACAGATAATAAACAATATTCTTCTCTGCTAATTCAAAATCTGCGCAAGGGTCAGTCTGTTTTATTTGAATATTATCATTACGGATTGTATTTTCCTGCATTTTCAGATGCCTGGTAATCTTTTACTAGATACCAGATTCACATTGTAAATGTAACTTTTTGGTTGCTGTATGTTTTTTTCTATTTACATGAACTTTTCATGTTTGATTTTTCTTTCAATTATTGATCATATTTTAAGATAGCATTTTATTTATTTACTTATTTTTATTTTTATTTTTTTTAAGATAGCATTTTAAAATAACAATTTCTGGGATGCCTGGGTGGCTCAGTTGGGTAAGCGTCTGCCTTTGGCTGGGGTCATGATCCCAGGGCCCTGGGATCGAGTCCCTCATCAGGTTCCTTGCTCAGCTGGGAGCCTGCTTCTCCCTCTGCCTGCTCTGCCTGCCACTCTCCCTGCTTGTGCTCTCTCTCTGACAAATAAATAAATCAAGTCTTTAAAAAAATAAATAAAATAACAATTTCTAATAATAAAATGTTCTATAAAAATCTGCAGTTGTTTACTGTATCTTCTGCATTAATATATTTTCCATTTCAAATGAATCTTTGCCATCAGCATGGAAATATTCCATATTTCTCATCTAGCCACTTCACCTTCCCTCCTGCTTTTCACCCAGTTGCCCATTCTTCTATAACAAAAGGTCTTCAAAGAGTTGTCCACACTCTAATTTTAGTGTTACTATGTTCTTTCATTCTTCTCAAATTCTTTATAACCATTTCCATAAGTCCTTCAAAACTTCACTCGTCAAGGTCACCAGAAATATCCAGGTTGATAAGTCCAATTATCAGCTTCCAGTATTTATCTGCACTTATCAGCAACATTGCTCATAGATCACTTCTTCCTCTAAAAAAAAAAATAAATCTGTCTTTACATGGTCTTAGATGCCATTTCTTTTGGTTCTCTCTCTACTTCCCTAGAAATTCTTTCTTAGTTCTGTTATTTCTCCTTATCAATCCTTTCTCTTTTTACACACAACTGCTCTATAATTTCATCCATTCCTGTAAATTTAAATATGTATAACTTGACATTTCCAGGATTTATATTGCCAGCATAGTACTCTCTAAGTACCTATAATATAACAATTGCCTACTTGATTTCTTTTTTTTTTAAGACACAAAACTTAATTTAATAGAAATTTTGTTTGTAGTCCTTACATTCTCACTGTGAGCCAAGCTGGAACCCACTGCCCCACCCAGAAGTGGCCCAGTCCTGGGAGCAGGGGGAAAAGGGAGGTGGTGGGTGGGGGTCAGAGCTCAGGCCCTAGGAGCCCTGTTCTTCCTCAGTGCTGGGGGCTGGGGATGCCACACTCTTCTCCAGTCCCCCTCTTCTCTGGCCCCCCTCTGGGATCCAGGAAGGAAAGCAGATGGAATCTTGGGCCTGGGGCTTCTCTTTCACACTCCCCTGCCCCCTCAGGTTGGAGGGAAACTAAGGGATTGGGGGAGAGAAAGGGACAGAGGAAGGCAAAGATGTCAATCAAGAAAGATGAGGTCAGGAATAAGGACTAAAGGAGAATCAAAGACAAAACACCAGTTTAGGGGAAAAAAAGGGAAAAAGGAGGGGAGGAAACAAAACCAAAATCCACCCCAAATCAGAACCTGCCTGGAAAAAAAATGAAAAGTTCTCCAGTCTCATAGAGACATTATTTGGCACAGCCGGCTCTGCAGCGGGAGCGCTCAGGCCTCAGTCCAGCCTGGAGGCAGCAGCATGGCCCCTACAGCTCATCCTTGGCCTGGCCAGCGGCAGCATCTTCCTCTTCCTCTTCCTCCTTGTCATCCTTGTCCTCCTTACGTTCGTCCTTATCTTCCTCATCGTCCTTGTCTGCCTCCTCTTCTTCCTTGCGCTTCTTGTCCTCCTCCTCCTCCTTTAGCCTCTGCTCCTCGTCCTGCTTGTCCTTCATCTGCTTTTCAGTTGCCTTCGTGATACCCCAGGTCTCGTTTCCAAACTCCTCTGCATATGCCTCGTCGTTGGTGATGAGGAAGTTGTCAAAGATGGTGCCAGACTTGACCTGCCAGGGATCTAAGCCCAGAACAGCAAAGTTTTCATAGGCATAGATGTTGCTATCAGGGGAGTACTCAGGGTTGTCAGTCTCTGGGTGGATCCAAGTGCCCTTGTAATCTGGGTTGTCCATCTGCCGGGGCTTCCATTTGCCCTTATACTCAGGGTTCTGAATCACAGGTGGTTCCCACTCTCCATCCATCTCTTCATCCCAGTCCTCTGGCTTTTTCGCATGGGGGTCAGGGATGTGCTCGGGCTTGTCCCAGTCCTCAGGCTTAGAGTCTGTGGGGTCATCAATCTTGGCCCGCTCATCCCAGTCTTCAGGCTTCGAAGCATCAGGATCCTTTATCTTCTTGGGAGGGAGGAAGTCCCAATCATCCTCCAAGGAGCCTGATTCCACCTAGCTGTTGTCAATCTTCACCTCATAAGTGTTATCTGGCCGGACAATCAGGGTATACAGGTGTGTGAATTCATCATCCTTGCAACGAATGTCCTTGTTGATCAGCACGTTCTTGCCCTTGTAGTTGAAGATGACGTGAACCTTCTTGGTGCCGGGGCCACAGATATCGGGGCCGAACATGATGCTGTATTCAGAGTCTCGGTGCATGTCGGTCTGGTCCAGACCATCTGGAAAGAGCTTCACGTAGCCGCCTCCACAGTCGATGTTCTGCTCGTGTTTCATGGTGAACTGCACCACCAGTGTCTGGCCCTTGTTGCTGAAAGGCTCAAATCTGGCCAACAAAGCGTAAAAGCGGGCATCCTGGCTTGTCTGCAGCCCTTTATCCTTCTCCTGGTCACCGTAGAACTCGCCGGAACTGAGGACAAATTTACCAAAATCTGACTTGTGTTTGGATTCGATCCAGCGGTCGGTCCACCCGTCTCCGTCCAGAAACTGCTCCTTGAAGTAGACGGCGGGTTCGGCAGCGGCCAGGCGGAAGAAGCCGAGCAGCAGCGGCACCGGTAGCATCATGGCGGGCCGAGGGGGCGGCGACCCGCGGGCCCTTTAAATCTCTCCTCCTGCGGTGGCTCTGCAATAGGGACCGCCTACTTGATTACTTAATCTGAATATCTACAGTATCTCAGAACTAACACATCTAAAACCAAACTTGTGTCTTTCTCTTGCAAATCTGCTTCTCTCATAGTATTCTCAGTCTTCATAAATAGCAATTCCACTCTTCCTTTTGCTCAGGGCAAAATCTTTGGAGTTCTTTCTTGATACATTGGGATCATGAAGAGACTTTTGGTGCATCGGGAGATTTAACTACAGCAAAATTAATAATTAGGATACAGTTTAATTCTATCCCTTGTTGTTGTTTTTCAATCTATAAATTTTCCTCTATCAAGTCCAATATATATATAAGTGAAGTAAATTATGGGATCCTAAAATGTATGGCCTTGATTTAACTAAACATCAAACCCAAAGAGACATCTTAAGATTTTCAGTCCATAGATCTAGACAATGGCACATAACCAAGAAAATGAGGGCTGAAAGCACAACAGAGAATCATTGGCAGAGACATGCAACCCATAGGAACAACTATCAAAAGGAAGACTTAAGGGAGAATGATAGATCATGTTACATATACAAGACCTTCTTAAAGCATTTTAATAGACAGATATTGTTATCCCTAGTTAGCAATAGAGCCAATATTTGAACCCCTTCATTCAATCATTCAACAAATATTCACTGGGTGAATATTATATTCCAGCTATTGTCCTAAGAGGAACTCAGAAATTAGGACAATAGTTGGCATATTTACATGAACTTCTTATGCTTTGTTCTTTGATGCAGTTAAGTTATTCAGATAGTTTGATACTTTTAGGTCATGCTTTTATGATTTGGTAGGCAGATCTGGAGCAGTGCTCAGTCTAGGGATAATTATTTTGTACTACTAAGATAAGACCTTTTGGGGTCCACTGTCAATGTCCTGTGAATTTTAAGCTTTTGCAGTTTGGCTGGTATTAATGGTCAGTGTCCCAAGCCCTGGGTGAACACCAGTTACTGTTCTCTCTAATACTTTCTGATAGTTCTTTTGATGGCCTTGGGTAGTTTCCTCACATGCATAATGATAATCTGCTAAATTTTCAAGGGGTGTCTTTACAGATTGTTGACATTCTTCTTTGTGCAGTCCTGTTATCTTGAGTACTCTTTATATATGAACTCATGATGTCTTGGTCTTAGACTTTCAGCTCCATCTCCTAAACTCAGGAACTCTACTGGGCTCTGCCTTAGCTCCCTTTCCTTATGCTGTGGACTGGAAATTCTTTCAAGGCAGTTATCTAGGGCAATCATAAGG